AAAGACAAACATGGCACATCCAGTGCAGGTCACAACAGCTGAACCCCCCCCTTCCATATCGCCTTCCTACTACGAGCTTCCTCAGAGCAGTTTGCAAGACTTAAGCCTCACTGGGCTCACTCCAGGCGAACTCCCAGGCAAACTCCTGCTGTGAGCTGCTCTGCTGTCCCCCGCTGCTCAGCTGCTGCTCAGCTGGTTCGCGAAGCTCTGGCTATTTTTAAACAGCCAGGCTTCCCTGACGCAAACAAACAGACACCCTAATATCATGATATACTTTTTTTCTGCAAGATGGAAAGGCCTATTGTTAAATATTTGTTCCCCATGTAGGAATCATAGAATCATAGAATATCAGGGTTGGAAGGGACCCCAGAAGGTCATCTAGTCCAACCCCCTGCTCAAAGCAGGACCAATTCCCAGTTAAATCATCCCAGCCAGGGCTTTGTCAAGCCTGACCTTAAAAACCTCTAAGGAAGGAGATTCTACCACCTCCCTAGGTAACGCATTCCAGTGTTTCACCACCCTCTTAGTGAAAAACTTTTTCCTAATATCCAATCTAAACCTCCCCCACTGCAGCTTGAGACCATTACTCCTCGTTCTGTCATCTGCTACCATTGAGAACAGTCTAGAGCCATCCTCTTTGGAACCCCCTTTCAGGTAGTTGAAAGCAGCTATCAAATCCCCCCTCATTCTTCTCTTCTGCAGGCTAAACAATCCCAGCTCCCTCAGCCTCTCCTCATAACTCATGTGTTCCAGTCCCCTAATCATTTTTGTTGCCCTTCGCTGGACTCTCTCCAATTTATCCACATCCTTCTTGAAGTGTGGGGCCCAAAACTGGACACAGTACTCCAGATGAGGCCTCACCAATGTCGAATAGAGGGGAACGATCACGTCCCTCGATCTGCTCGCTATGCCCCTACTTATACAGCCCAAAATGCCATTGGCCTTCTTGGCAACAAGGGCACACTGCTGACTCATATCCAGCTTCTCGTCCACTGTCACCCCTAGGTCCTTTTCCGCAGAACTGCTGCCTAGCCATTCGGTCCCTAGTCTGTAGCTGTGCATTGGGTTCTTCCGTCCTAAGTGCAGGACCCTGCACTTATCCTTATTGAACCTCATCAGATTTCTTTTGGCCCAATCCTCCAATTTGTCTAGGTCTTTCTGTATCCTATCCCTCCCCTCCAGCGTATCTACCACTCCTCCCAGTTTAGTATCATCCGCAAATTTGCTGAGAGTGCAATCCACACCATCCTCCAGTTCATTTATGAAGATATTGAACAAAACCGGCCCCAGGACCGACCCTTGGGGTACTCCACTTGATACCGGCTGCCAACTAGATATGGAGCCATTGATCACTACCCGTTGAGCCCGACAATCTAGCCAGCTTTCTATCCACCTTGTAGTGCATTCATCCAGCCCATACTTCCTTAACTTGCTGACAAGAATACTGTGGGAGACCGTGTCAAAAGCTTTGCTAAAGTCAAGAAACAATACATCCACTGCTTTCCCTTCATCCACAGAACCAGTAATCTCATCATAAAAGGCGATTAGATTAGTCAGGCATGACCTTCCCTTGGTGAATCCATGCTGGCTGTTCCTGATCACTTTCCTCTCATGCAAGTGCTTCAGGATTGATTCTTTGAGGACCTGCTCCATGATTTTTCCAGGGACTGAGGTGAGGCTGACTGGCCTGTAGTTCCCAGGATCCTCCTTCTTCCCTTTTTTAAAGATTGGCACTACATTAGCCTTTTTCCAGTCATCCGGGACTTCCCTGGTTCGCCACGAGTTTTCAAAGATAATGACCAATGGCTCTGCAATCACAGCTGCCAATTCCTTCAGCACTCTCGGATGCAACTCGTCCGGCCCCATGGACTTGTGCACGTCCAGCTTTTCTAAATAGTCCCTAACCACCTCTATCTCCACAGAGGGCTGGCCATCTCTTCCCCATTTTGTGATGCCCAGCGCAGCAGTCTGGGAGCTGACCTTGTTAGTGAAAACAGAGGCAAAAAAAGCATTGAGTACATTAGCTTTTTCCACATCCTCTGTCACTAGTTTGCCTCCCTCATTCAGTAAGGGGCCCACACATTCCTTGGCTTTCTTCTTGTTGCCAACATACCTGAAGAAACCCTTCTTGTTACTCTTGACATCTCTGGAACTTATGAACTGTGATCAAGTCACTCCTTTGTAAACTAAAGAGATTGAACTCCTCGTGGCTGTCACTATAAGGCAGGTTTTCTAATCCTTTAATGATTCTTGTGGCTCTTCTCTGACCCTTCACCAGTTTTCTACCATTTTCTTCAATTGTGGGCACCAGAATGGCACACATTATAACAGCAGCAGTTGCCCCAGTGCTAAATATAGCAGTAAAATAACCTCTCTGCTTCTACTTGGACTTCCTCTGTTTATGCATCCAAGGATCTCATTAGCTCTTTTCAGAGGAACAGCCATGTTAGTCTGTATTCGCAAAAAGAAAAGGAGTACTTGTGGCACCTTAGAGACTAACCAATTTATTTGAGCATGAGTTCACGAAAGCTCATGCTCAAATAAATTGGTTAGTCTCTAAGGTGCCACAAGTACTCCTTTTCTATTAGCTCTTTTGGCCACCAGATCATACTGGGAGCTCATATTCAACTGGTCATCCATCACAACCCCCAATCTTTTTCAGAGTCCCTGCTTCCCAGGGTAGAGTCCCTATTATGTAAGTATGGCCTACATTCTTTGTTCCTAGATGCATACATTTTTATTTAGCCAGATCTCTCTGTACCAATGACCTGTCCTCTTCATTTTTTACGACTCCCCCAGTTTTTGCGTCTGTAACCATCCCTTTGTGGGTCACAACTGAGAATATGAAATTCAGGACAAACTGCTGAGAAATAGGGCAGATACACTCCAAAATGCTGTGGTCATTCTTCCTTAAGATATACCAATCCAGGCAACAAAAGTAAACTTCTGTTTCACCATACTGACTAATAAGAAATCAGAAAAGCAGTTTCCTTAGGCACTCCAGTCCTTGTATCCCCACCAAAAACACTAGACTTAGATTTCATAGTAGCAGCTGTGTTAGTCTGTATTCGCAAAAAGAAAAGGAGTACTTGTGGCACCTTAGAGACTAACAAATTTATTTGAGCATAAGCTTGAAGTGAGCTGTAGCTCACGAAAGCTTATGCTCAAATAAATTTGTTAGTCTCTAAGGTGCCACAAGTACTAGACTTAGAGATGAGTGGTCCTTTAAAAACAATTTAATCAAATAAAAGGTTCTTCTGATCCCAAAGGACCAGGCACACACCCAGGTTAATATATAACTCAGATCTTACCTAAAAATCATGCTGATGCCAATCCTTTAGTATCTAAAATCTGAAGGTTTATTTATAAAAAGAAAGAAAGGTGAGAGTTAAAATTGGTGAAAGGAATCAAATACATACAACAATTGAAAAGTTCTTGGGTCAGGCTTGTAGCAGTGATGGAATAAACTGCTGGCTTAAGTCAAGTCTCTGGTTGCTTCCACATCATTGGAAGGTCCTCGATCCCTTGGTTAGAATGCTCCCATTAGTATAGGTCCATAGTCCAGAGGCTGGAGCAGGAAAGAGGCAAAATGGAAGTGTTTCCAGGGCCTTTTATAGCTTCTGCCATATGGAGGGAAACCCACTGTTTCAAACAAAGCCCTCAGCACAGCTAGTGGAAAATCACAAGTGACAAGATGGTGTTTGGAGTCACCCGGGCAATTCACATGTCCATGCATGGTTCCACTTAGTCACAGTAAAAGTCCATTCAGGGTAGATGGGAGGTCTTCCATTGTGAGTTAAATGCTCCTTGATTAGCCACTTAATTTGAATAGTCCCTTCAAGATGTACAAGCTAGATACCTTGTGGGCATTACCCCAGGAACAAACATTTGAAATTCAGGTGTAGAGCCAATACTCTCAACTACAAATACAAGAATGATACATGCATACAAATAGCATAATCATATTCAGCAAATCATAACCTCTCCATAGACACCTTACTTGACAACCTTTGTACAAGATTTGTTGCAAATATTTAACAGTGGTTGCAACAGTGAGCTAAAATATAGTCATTTTTTAATCAAATAACGTCACAGTGTCATCTGCAAACTTTATCAGTGGTGATTTCAGGTTTTCTTCCAGGTTACTGATAAAATTGTTAAGTAGCATAGAGCCAAGAACTGATCCCAGTGGGACCCCACTAGAAACACACCATCTTGATACTGATTCCCTGTTTACCCTTACATTATGAGGTCTATCAGTTAGGCAGCTTTTAATCCATTTAATGTGTTAATCTTGTATTGTTCTAATTTTTAATCATAATGTTGTGCAGTGCCAAGTCAAATGTCTTTCAGAAATCTAAATATATTTTATGAACATTATTACCTTTATCAACCAAACTTGTAATCTCAACCAAAAAAAGATATCAAGTTTGTTTGAATGGAACTATTTTTCATAGACCCATGTTGAGTGGCATTAATTATAGTTCCTTCTTTTAATTCTTTATTAATCAAGTCCTGTATCAGCTGCTCCATTATCTTTCCTGCAATCAGTGTCAGACAGGTGTAACATTTAATTGGTAAAGCATCATAATTCAGCTTGCTGTGGCCAGAAAATGGGTTTCCATTGATGTAGGAAACTGTAATCCTAAGTATTTTCCTCGATGACTTTTTTTTCTTTTTCCTGTTGCTTCCTTCTTTCAGGACAGGTGAATGGTAGACAAAGAGGAGAGAGAGAGAGCAGCAACAACAAAACCCTCTAGCTGCATCCTTGGCCATGTTGCCACAATACTTAAATGATCAAGAGTAATAAAAATGCTCAGTTTCTTAGTCTAATTTTTCAGTGGGAGGATATCTTGAAGTTGGCTAACTTCATGGTTTATATACTATTGTGTTTTTGCTGATCTACAGGTTTGCATGTTTGTGTTCTTTCCTTCTTGAGATAGATGAACTTTCAAATATTTGTTTCAAGCAAATATAGTTGTTTTTTACTTGATTTCTAGGTGTCGGATTTAGTAATAATACTGAACCATGAAAGAGCAGTTGAAGCTTTTGCAAAAGGTGGCAATCTTACACTTGGAGGAAATTTTACAGTGGCAATTGGGCCTTTGGGGAGGTGAGTAGCATTAAAATATAAAATTCAAGTAACGTGTTTTAAACGTATGTATTAACAAAAAAGTACTTCCATAATCCTATTTAAAATATACTTGCAAGTTTTATTTAGTTTATTCTAACAATCTGCTCAATAATTTTGTGGAAAACCTATCGTTCACTTGGCCAGTGTTGTCTTCATAGTATTATGCCACTTTAATTGGATACAGATTGTGCAGTCTCGGTCAGTTCTTGTCTTTCTCTCAACCAGACCTACAAAAAGCAATGGGAAAGAGGAAGCTAATAGAAGTTCAGTCTAGCTTAAATGGAGATTGTTTGTAGGTGGAAAGAAGAATTGATTGCCTCTTTCTATGTATGATTGAGAAAGGTAGGTTCACAAAGGCCCTAGATTTGAACATCTGGGAACTAGTAAAGGAAGTTCTTAGTGGAGGGCCCTGAGTTCTAAGATTAGATTACCTTGTTGGTCTATCGGACCCCAAGTTTGTTAACCTTGGGCCAGCTTAAGACTCCTCTTTTTCACTCAGCCTTTTGCTTGAGAGAAATGACCGTGGCAAATATTCTAATTTTTATTCTGGTGTTGTCATTTGTTTGGGTTGGCCAATTGTTTGACTGTTTTAAAGAAGTCAAAAAATTTCTGTCAAACCTATTTTTTGACAGAAAATTGGGTATTGATTAAATGATTTTCATGAAAAGTGTCTGCTTTCCACAGATTTTTGGTCCAAAAAAAAAAAAAACCATAAACTGAAAAAAATGGGGCCAAACTAAAAAACTTTGATTCAGTTCTGCTTTGCTGCCTCATGGAAGTTGTAGTTCTGTTGCTTCAAGTCCCCATTCTCCTCTTTGGGCCAGATTCCCCAGCTGGATGTCATTTCTCATAATGCACCACAGCCTTGAGACTCCCATAATGCACCACCCCCAAAGAGGGGAGAGAGTGCTGCATCATGAGAGTTGGAGTCCAGCCAGGGAACCCAACCTATAGTAGAGAATGAGAGTATGAAGCACTTGAACTACAGCTCCTATGAGACACCACTGCAGCATTTCCAATTTAAAAAATGTTTTGGTTTTTACGCAGATATTTCACAAAAAAGTCACTTTTTTCCACGGAAAAAAACATTTTCTGGCCTTTTTTTTTTAAACATCTCTGTGCAGAGGTTGTGTAATATACATTTCACAATCTCGTAATACAATGTTCTGAGAGCTGTACTGGCATGAAGTGATGATGCTGATACAAAAAGATTTATTATAGCAAGTCATTGTATACCGTAAGTTGTATTTTTAAAATCAATTTTATTTTATTTTGCAGTATAAAAGTGAAAAGAATTTACCAAAGAGAAAGGATAGTAGAGGTTTTTTGGGATCCTTAAAAGTCTGTTACAGAGCACTTTTTATAATACCAGTAACTGCTTTAAGTGTCCATTTAAACAACATCACATTTTTTATTCCAAATATTAAATGAGACTCTCTTCCTAACATACCAGAGGTTATATGGGGAACATTTTGCCATTTCCTTGTTCGTTTACTTGATTTAACAATTAATATTAATCATAAATATGTTCTGTAACATGTTAGATTTTCCCCATGGTTAGGTTGTTAAATCAGGATGCAATCCATATTTTGATAACAGATCATGTTTATGGGGTTTTTTTGTGGTTACAAATGTCAGACTGTCATTTAATTTAAAGACTAACTTTATATTTTGCCAGCTCCTACCTGTTCATTCTGAAGTCTTCTTACTTCCGTTCTGAGCCTCCTAGTTACTCCAAGGAATGAACAAACACCAGTCTTGGGGTTGCAGCAGTGGTTGCATACCAAGATTTCATGCAAGACTGAGTTTCTCCATGTAATTTATTCTTTCCTTTACCTGAGGAGCTAGATAGGGTGCCATTCCATCCCTTTACCAGAGGTACTCTTAATATGTATAGTAACATGTAACATGCAATCTCCTACTTATTACTTTACATTAAGAACATAAGAACTGCCATACTGGGTCAGACCAAAGGTCCATCCAGCCCAGTATCCTGTCTGCCGACAGTGGCCAATGCCAGGTGCCCCAAAGGGAGTGAACCTAACAAGTAATGATCAAGTGATCTCTCTCCTGCCATCCATCTCCACCCTCTGACAAACCGAGGCTAGGGACACCATTCCTTACCCATCCTGGCTAATAGCCATTAGTGGACTTAATCTCCATGAATTTATCTAGTTCTCTTTTAAACCCTGTTATAGTCCTAGCCTTCATAGCCTCCTCAGGCATGGAGTTCCACAAGTTGACTGTGCACTGTGTGAAGAAGAACTTCCTTTTATTTTTTCTAAACCTGCTGCCCATTAATTTCATTTGGTGGCCCCTAGTTCTTATACTATGGGAACAAGTAAATAACTTTTCCTTATTCACTTTCTCCGCACCACTCATGACTTTATATACCTCTATCATATCCTCCCTTAGTCTCCTCTTTTCCAAGTTGAAAAGTACTAGCCTCTTTAATCTCTCCTCATATGGGACCTATTCCAAATGCCTAATCATTTTAGTTGCCCTTCTCTGAACCTTTTCTAAAGCCAGTATATCTTTGTAGAGATGACAGGTTTCAGAGAAGCAGCTGTGTTAGTCTGTATCCATAAAAACAAAAGGAGTACTTGTGGCACCTTAGAGACTAACAAATTTAGTTGAGCATAAGCTTTCGTGAGCTACAGCTCACTTCATCAGATGCATGCAGTGGAAAATACAGTGGGGAGATTTATATACACAGAGAACATGAAACAATGGGTGTCACCATTCACACTGTAACAAGAGTGATCAGGTAAGGTGAGCTATTACCAGCAGGAGAGTGGGGCGGGGGGGAACCTTGTGTAGTGATAATCAAGGTGGGCCATTTCCAGCAGTTGACAAGAACGTGTGAGGAACAGTGAGGTGGGAAATAAACATGGGAAAATAGTTTTACTTTGTGTAATGACACATCTACTCCCAGTCTTTATTCAAGCCTAAGTTAATTGTATCCAGTTTGCAAATTAATTCCAATTCAGCAGTCTCTCATTGGAGTCTGTTTTTGAAGTTATTTTGTTGAAGAATTGCCACCTTTAGGTCTGTAATCGAGTGACCAAAGAGATTGAAGTGTTCTCCAACTGGTTTTTGAATGTTATAATTCTTGACGTCTGATTTGTGTCCATTTATTCTTTTACGTAGAGACTGTCCAGTTTGGCCAATGTACATGGCAGAGGGGCATTGCTGGCACGTGATAGCATATATCACATTGGTAGATGTGAATGAGCCTCTGATAGTGTGGCTGATGTGAATAGGCCCTCTGATGGTGTCCCCTGAATAGATATGTGGACACAGTTGGCAATGGGCTTTGTTGCAAGGATAGGTTCCTTGGTTAGTGGTTTTGTTGTGTGATGTGTGGTTGCTGGTGAGTATTTGCTTCAGGTTGGAGGGCTGTCTGTAAGCAAGGACTGGCCTGTCTCCCAAGATCTGTGAGAGCGATGGGTCATCCTTCAGGATAGGTTGTAGATCCTTGATGATGCGTTGGAGAGGTTTGAGTTGGGGGCTGAAGGTGATGGCTAGTGGCTTTCTGTTATTTTCTTTGTTGGGCCTGTCCTGTGGTAGGTAACTTCTGGGTACTCTTCTGGCTCTGTCAATCTGTTTCTTCACTTCAGTAGGTGGATATTGTAGTTATAAGAACGCTTGATAGAGATCTTGTAGGTGTTTGCCTCTGTCTGAGGGATTGGAGCAAATGCGGTTGTATCGTAGAGCTTGGCTGTAGACAATGGATCGTGTGGTGCAGTCTGGATGAAAGCTGGAGGCATGTAGGTAAGCATAGCGGTCAGTAGGTTTCCGGTATAGGGTGAGGGGACAGTATACAAGATGTGGGCATACCATGGATTTATATAAGGGCAATAAGATATTCTCCGTCTTATTCTTTTCCTTTTTTTTAAAGATTCCTAACATCCTGTTTGCTTTTTTGACTGCCGCTGCACACCGCATGGACGTCTTCAGAGAACTGTTCACGATGACTCCAAGGTCTCTTTCCTGATTAGTTGTAGCTAAATTAGCCCCCATCATATTTTATGTATAGTTAGGGTTATTTTTTCCAATGTGCATTAATTTACATTTATCCATATTAAATTTCATTTGCCATTTTGTTGTCCAATCACTTAGTTTTGTGAGATCTTTTTGAAGATCTTCACAGTCTGCTTTGGTCTTAACTATCTTGAGCAGTTTAGTATTGTCTGCAAACTTTGTCACCTCCCTGTTTATCCCTTTCTCCAAATCATTTATGAATAGGTTGAATAGGATTGGTCCTAGGACTGACCCTTGGGGAACTCCACTAGTACCCCTCTCCATTCTGAAAATTTGCCATTTATTCCTACCCTTTGTTCCCTGTCTTTTAACCAGTTCTCAATCCATGAAAGATAGCTTAGACTATTTATGCATATACTGTGATAAAGGAGCAATAGCACAATGCTTGGGGTTTGGATAGAGGAGAAAAGACTAGAGTCACAGGAAAAAGCATATGTGGTTATTCAGGAAAGGCATGTATACATGTGGCTGACTGAATAAGTTCTTGTGTAGGTTTAATAAATTTGAATATCAAAGAAATACTTTGCAATAAGAAAAAATATCTTGGTACACTGACTTTTTGTGGGCTTCTATATTGGAGACCAAAGCGAGATCTCCCTTTGAAGTCCAGGATTACAACTTTTCACTTCTGACATTTAAGAGTAGTGCGTTTAGTTGCAGTAAAAATTTAGAACTCTTGTTTTGCCCTTGGTTCTGCCATATGCTTAGAATCATTCCATACGTGATATCTGACTAAAGCCTCTAGTTGGTCATACTCTGGCTTTGGCCAGTTATAGTTTATGGCACAGAATCTGGCAGGGCAGTTTTCTTTAAAAATAAATAAATCTGATACCCTTCTTCTGAACATAATGGCAGAAGTGAGTTTTAAGGATGGATTTCAATGAGGAGGCATAGTAGACCAGCTCAGGAAGAGCTTTTCCATTTGAGAAGACAGC